AGTAGTAACATGAAATATGAAAATGAAACCAGTAATAATTTTTATGCAAAAAGGTTTAAAAACCACTCACCTCAAAAAGCTTTTGAAACCAAAATGCTTGAAATCAACTTGAATCACCAACACTTGAAATCATCCTTTTGCAATCCGGACAACTCTCTTTAAGGTACTTAAATTTCTCAAAATAGCAGGAAGAGAAAATGAGGAGGCTAAGCCTCCTATTTATACTTCCAAATATGGAAGGTCGGCTAACCGCCTTCCCTTCTCCTTCTACCTCATGCATACCCACATATGCACACACGCACATACACATACATACCTTTTCCATGCATGCATTACATGCATGCACCAAATACTTTACATATATATATATATATATATATATACACACACATATATATATACATAACAAATTAATACACAAATTCTCATACCAGCATGTATCAATTATCATGCTATCACGTAATCATTTAGTCAAATAATCACACATTAATTACCTTGGGTAATAACCAGGATCCGGTTATCACATTNAGCATGTATCAATTATCATGCTATCACGTAATCATTTAGTCAAATAATCACACATTAATTACCTTGGGTAATAACCAGGATCCGGTTATCACATTTCAGCCCATCATCGGATGTTGATCATTCAATTGCTATAATTTTACTTCCATTTAAAAAAAAATTAGTCAGTTACTTATATTTATTTTTTATAGAATCAAATAGATATATTGAATCGTTAAGGACTACCAATCTCCCATTTCTAGAATTGTTTTGTTTGAATGTGGTATTTCCTAGGCATGAGAATGAGCCCCTACTCGTCGGGGAACCCGGTCCACCCACCTTGGTCGAGGATGGGGATTCCCCGCTAAATCGGGGATGGGGACGAGGGCGAGTATCGTACTCCCCTCCCCGCCCCATAACCGTTATATATATTAATTAACAAATTATATATATATATATATATACATACATATGGGATGGTTCAAATGTTAACTAAGTTTATTGTGCTAACTTTATTAACCAATCTTGACCATTAATCTTTGAAATTTGTGGCTAAGATCATTCATGATATAAAGTGTAGTTAATTGCACACATAGACAAGGTAACATAAGTGAACAATATTTACAAGGGTATTTTGGGAAAAAGATTTTAGTTGTCCATTAATGATAATGAAATGTTTTGTGACCACCCATTAATGACAATGAGATGTTTTGTAACTGCCCATTAATAACAATGTAACTATTCGGGAATTAATCTCGTCATCGAATCAAAACCAACAGCTAGATCCTCGACACCAAATTCTTCTATAGTTTTTTTTTTGTTAATGGTTCATATGTGAATAAGTATTCGATATTCATGGGAATTGTTCATGTGTGAACAGGGGTGTATATGGAAAAAAGTCGTAAACGACACAAGCGTGCATATATGTCAATCTGTGTTTGTATTTGACACAAGGGTTCATATATGTCAATTTGTGTTCGTAATTGACACATGAGTTCATATATGTCGAGTTGTGTTAATATATGTGAATTTGTGTTCATATGGTCATACATGTTCATCATCTTTCGTATGTTCATTTGTGTCAATATGTATTCATATTTATACCAACTGTACATATATGTCAATCTGTGTTCGTAATTGATACAAGGGTTCATATATGTCAATTTGTGTTAATATGGTCACACATGTTCATAATCTTTTTTATGTTCATTTGGGTCAATATGTGTTCATATTTATACCAACTGTATATATAGGTCAATCGAGTAATTGTATTTTGACAAAAATACAATTAAAGTCACATGTACCATATCGAGTAATATACAAAACTTATCGAGTAATTGTATTTTGAGAAAATAAAATCGACCTGAATATTGATGTGAATGAAAGTACAAATGTGTTCTTGATGATATCTCTCAACAGGTTTAGCTCTCAAAACGTCTCACGTATGGATTATTGCAAGATTAACTAACAAAACTAACGAAACCACCTATTTATACCAAGGAATTACAAGGA